AGTAAGAGCTGGAAAGTAGGCATGCATGTGTGGGCTTTGCCAATGGACTACCTAGAACAAAATTATCTAGAAGTTAAGTCTGAAAATGTCACAAAATTCTGCACAAGATGTAGTGATTAGCATCTGTTTAAAGTAAGGCAAAAGGATCACAGCAACATAATATGTGCAATTACAGATCTGCTAGGAGAGAGCTATCAACAGGAGTACAGCACTAGCAAATGATAACACTGTGTCGTTACTCGATAAATTCCAGATTATAGCAAAAGCATTTATCTGAATTAAACAGGCAGATGAAGATTCTGAACAGGAAAGAACGGTCTTTCGAACACTGCAGAACAGAGTCAGAAGTATTTATCAAAATATTTATAAGGGAAATCCTTGCAGAAGTCGCTTTTGCTCATTTTGTCAAACAACAGCTTGCCTTCAGCCACACATAGCAATTTACAATTATATAGCCCCCCCCCATACACCTGACAGAACTTGTATGTGGGACACCAGTATAAGCATGTTTAATGTGAATACCTCTCCTACATCAGACCAAGCTTATGCAAATATCTATAAAGAAAATTTTAAAACAGACTTTGAAACAGCTTCTTACATAAAACTTTTCATTAGGTAACATGAACCCCCTTAGCAGAATCTGCAGTATTTATGTACAAGACGAAGGAGACTTTACATTGAAAAAGCAGGAGACAAGTCTTGTATGTACATGACCTTGAGGAAGAGATGTTTCACCTTCCTGTGACTGAGTTTCCACATCTCTGAAATTGAGGTGTTTTTTGGTAGAAGCCTTGTGAAGCTAAATTCAACAGTGTCAGAAAACCATTGTTTCCCTCTAAGCAAACATGAGTTATTCTTAATGTATAAAATACTTCAAAAACACATTCAGTCTATCCTCTAAAATTGTAGTTAGAAACACAACACTAATCTCCATAATTCTTCTGTGTTCCTAACATCTACAAGACTCATTCTACATTTTGGGTGTTTTTTTATTTAGATAAATGTTCTGCTCTGCAGAACCTCTGCATTCCCAGGATTTGGTGTTCACCCCAGGTAGTAATGATTTTTTCCTGTCACGATTATACTTTACTTCTTACCCCAGGCATAATAATCTTCTCTATATCTCCAAAGATGCTGTCCCAGCTGTCTGGGTCCATTGGGGCAGAATCCGGCAGCTGGGCTCTCATGTAACCTGGCTGTACATCAGGAGTCACTCGTCTCTCTCTCACATTGCTCAGGTACTGGCAATTTTTTCCCTGGAAGAGGCAAACCAGTGTTTTGAGTTTCGATTGCGGGAAAACTAGTAGTACTAGCACTTAACACAATCTGTCATTAGCATTGGACAGGGCTCAGAATATTGCTCCCGGGATAGCCCCAGGAACTAACCTTCCTTCACCCTACTTGTCCATCTAACAAAGTAGCTTCTAGAACAGGCTTCATGGGGACAGGACAGATTCACAGTTATTTCAGTGTCATCACTGACTAGTTAAATATACCTTTAAAATACAGTCATGGTACAAGTGCAGTTTGATTACTAAGAGGATAGACAGATTTTCTTGCCTACAAATTAACTGAAACCACATTTCACAGAAATTAAGTTTTCACAGTGCCCCGTGCTTCCCTGTCATTATGGCATACCCCCTTTTGCATCCTCTCATCCTCTGAAAACAGTTGCACAGCTCCACACCTTTTCTCCACTTTTTAGGCAATCTCCTCGAGCCCTAGGACCAAAGTTTGCTTCCCATCTCAGAACTGTGCCAGTATCACTAAAGTTTCATGGTGTCAGCCCAGGGAGAGCCACTGAGACACTGTGCACAACCCCTTAGCACAAATTTATTCAGAATCACAGTTTTGCAGCTTTCCCACAGTATCTTAAATGTAAAACCAAAAAGTCCAAGTCATCCACTGACTCTAAATCTATTAAACGCAACCCTGGGACACATTTTTGTCTCAGTCCCAGCAGATCTAAGTCTCAAGGACAGGTATGCAAATAAAAAGTAAATATCCCATCCTCATTTCTGGGTACCACTCCCAGCCCTACAACAGTCCATCTCCGTGAGCAAATGTTACCTGTTTCCAAGAGCAGAGGATCACTCACCTCTGCGTCTGTACTCCTCAGGCTCCATACCGATTCCTTCTAAAAGCACCTCTTCAAACCTGGGCCACGACCTTTCAGGAGCTGTGGGCAGTTTGGGCTGGTGCCCTGCTAGCTGCCTCACCTTTTATATCTCCCTTTATCTCTCAGACTCACGCATTCTGGAAAAGGTTTAACGTAGGCAGGTTATTGGTGAGTGTTTATCTAACTCCTCCCAACTGAGGGCTTTTATAGTCTCTCTTATGTTCTCATCTGTGCTCCTTTGATGTGTAAGATAGCGTATCTCCAGGAGGAGCTGCCTCTGCGCTAACCCTTTCCCATTTTCAAATGATCTCTCAGAAGTCTCACAGCAATCCATGCCATGAAGACACATTAACATCCGACTTGGAGAGAAAAAGCTCAAGAGCTTCCAAAACCAAACACCAGCAGCCATAGTATTTGGCTCTAGCACACCAAAACCAGTGCTAGCAGTCACTAAAACAATGCATCAGCACATAACAAATTTGACGCTGTAGGCCGGGACATTTTTTTTTAAAAAAAAAAGAATTATAGGACTGAATTTTCCCAAGAAGAGAGTGTACCTGCACCCCCACAAGTCTTCAGTCCCTATGCTATCAGTCCCTTGCTGCTAGAAGGAAAGGCATTACAGTTATGACCAGTTCCAAAGCTGCAATACAAAGCGGCAATGATCCTCTTTGTGGATTTCCTGCCCTTCCAGATCAGACCAGGTTACGCTGCACGGTGATGTTCCTCCAGCAATATCACCCTGAATTGCTGAACTGGGAAAACACATCTTTCCCCCCCACACTGTGCTTGTTTTTCTCACATATGATATGCATAAGCACTGGGTTTGGCCTTCCATCTCCAGAATTCCCCAAAGTCCTCCACTGGGATTGTTCTCAGTTTGGAAGAACAGCCATGTAGATTCCCCCTTGTTCCAGTTTTAGGAACTGAAGACACATCCTGACCTGTCTTTGGCAGCACAACCTTTGACACTGTATTCAATGTTGAGCACTTATCTTCACCTGAAGGAATTCACTTTCTCTACACTGATACCAGGCAGCCCTGGGAAAAGAGAGAGGTAGGACTTAGAGACTACGCACCAGAAGGAGAAATTATTACATAGGATAATACACACTTGCCTGATTTTTGCTATACCTTAGGTTCCTGCTTAGGACCAGCCCTGTTGGAGACAGGATATCAGGCTAGGCAGACCCTTAGCCTAATACATGACAGCAGTTTCTCTCTTCTCATCATACAGAAATGAACTGGCTGTCACAGCAGCTTTGATTTTCTGCCTCAGGTACTATAATGCAGCCTAAAGGTTTTCATTATTCTAGAAAAGTTGTTATGTCTTTCTCCACAGCATACTTTCTACAGAACAGTGTGAAAACCTTTTCTAGTTTCTGCTGCGATTAGATATTTGAGAAAGAACTGTTTCATAGATATGACAAAGATGCTCTGATACACGCACATCAGATTAATGTACTCAAAAAAATATTAAAAAGGCATTGAAAGAAGTGTAAGTAGTCCACAAGAAACATACTATACACATATTCATCTGCTTCATCTCACATTTCTCTGGAAACATTAAGAAGAAAAATAATAAGCTGCCCACAAGTATCAATTTATGAACCTCTCTTGGCTTTACTGTAAATGCTGCTGTAAAGGGAACACAGAAGGTGAGAAGGGGCTGGCATCAAGCACAGGAGCAACTCAAAAAGAGCTCGCAGTTCCCAAAAAACTGCAATTCTAGCTCATTACAAGTAACTAATACATTACTTTAATATGTGGACGTCTGTTCAAAGCAAGCTGGTAGCTAATTACATTCATGATTTCAATTTGGAACAGCAAATAAGGAGCAATACTTTTAACACTGTTTTCAGAGCTAAACTACACAATAAATATTCCATGTGACATATACCCTACGCCTTTGCTCAAAGCTGGTATTTTGATCAAGTTGGTTTCTCGTTCTGTGCAGAAGAGAACAAACAGCAGGTCGTGTTCGGAACTAGATTAAGGTAGATGATAATGACTTACAGCTAGGGTAAACATTGCGGGTAATAAATAAATTTTTGTTATAGCTACGCTGCACTTGGAATGATTTTGTTATAGACAATGAGGAATAGAGTATTTGCTCACAGGAAGCAGAATGAATAGAAAAGGTTCTTTTCATTGTTTGCTACAAAGGTCCATGTCGTCAAAACCGTGGGAAATTCGCCATTTGGACATGAACATTACCACTATCACTACTCCGGCTAACGCTGAAATTCTTATCGTTACTAAGAGTTCACAGAGATTAAACTGTTGTTAAATTTGCAGGATGTGAGGACACAAACATTATTTTGATCACAGAATAATTCAACTGGAGCAACGTCTAACCAGCACATTTAACTTGAGTAACTGGTTGCTGCATTCGCTAGTGACATAAGGGGTAATTTCTGAAACCAAACAAACAAAACAACAGAAATACAGCTATTTCCACTTTGTCACCACATAAGGCTTGCTTCAAGTGCTGCTACCAGCTAAACATAATTATATCCTTGAAAAATAATAATTCTAAAAACAACCACCACAGATTTTCCATTTTTTATTATATTTTGATTATTTTTGGGTCACATTTGCCAATCAGGATCAAATTTGCCAAATTTATACCAATACTTGGATAGTTGGGATTTTCTCCTAACTGCCTATTCTATAAACCCAAATCAAAGTTTGAAGAAGGAAGATTTTACTTCTTATTGTTCAGTGCAATTCTTTCCCCACTCCTCCCTCTTACCTTTGAAGGCCCGTTGAAACCTCAAACTGTTTTTTTCGTATTTTTCTGAATGTCTAACACAGCACAGCTTTGACCCTCTAATGCGCATACAAAACAACTGAAATGGAATTGATTCTACACTATATGTACGTGGAAAAGATATTTAATTGTAAAATAGAAAAAGTAGGCCAGAGTACAGTTTTAAGGGTAATTCTTGTGTGTACAGTATAGGTAAACTAGACTTTTTGCTTAAGTTTATATAAACAATTCCATAAAAGCAGTGAAACATGGAACAACAAAGCAAAGCACAAAGAGTTTTATCTTACAAAAAAAGGAATCTGCACAGTAGTTCAAAATTTAATGTAACACAGCACTGAACAATCTTAAGGCAGCTCAGTCTAAGCACAGGACTAGAAGCCAGAACTCCTGAGATCTGTTCCCAGGTCTACCACAGTTCACGTGGTCTCGGGCCAGTCATTTAACACTCCCTGTGTTGCGCTAATACCAGTTATAAAATTGAGACAGTAACACTCACTCACCTGCCTCAGGCAGTACAGTAAGGGTTCTTTAAAAGATTTTACAATGCTCTGAAGATGTAATGTGCTATATAAATCTTAAGCATAATAGATCACTGCACAGACACACACGAACACAGTAACACAGTGAAGAACAATGATGCTAGGTAAGAAGAGCATCACTACAACATAAAAAAATCACTTGTCCAATTGCATAATTAAAATGCAAAAGTCTGTTTAGAAAAAAACGTATCACTGAAATACTTTCAAGGCTATTGGGGAAGAGATCAATAGGAATATTCTAAAAGAACTACTATTTGTGTTTCAGTGGAGACATTCTTTTATATTCATTACTGAACTTTAAAATGTTTATACAGGAAAATTGCAAGACACACAAAGTGGTTACAATGTCTCCACTACCAAATTTTAAATTGCCTCTAATATGTAAATTAAGATTTTTTTGTTCTTCTTAATTACAAGTTACATTCTTCCAAGAAATATACCATCCACAATAAAACTGGCTGCTAGCTTACTTGAATTGACCTATAGGCTAAACATTTTTCTCTTAATTTTTTCTCATCTTTGCTGAAAAATACCTATGCAAGATGTATGTGTAGAAATTATAAAAACATGCAGCATATGTACAAACTGAAAAGTTTAAAAAATATTAGCTTCATATACATGTAAATCTACTTGGATATATCTGAAATTAAATATAAAAATTTCACCGCCTAAAATAAAAAAAAAAACCAAAAATGGTTTTCAGAGAATCTGAGACAACTACTTAAAGCTGTACAAAGATTTCCACCTGGAAATGTCTTACTCAGAGAAGTTTAAGTTGTTACCATGTAGAAATAACTGTTAATTAATTTTGTCACATAATTAATTTTCAAGTTGTCAGCTTAAATCAACATCACCCTTAAAACTGTTCTGTTTTTCAGAAGTTAGATTCTTACTAAAATCAAAAATTTCACAAAAACATTGGCTTCTCCTGTTTCTGGATCCCTTCAAAAAGATTTATCAACTCATTTTGAAACTGTAAAAAAACCAACTATTTACAGTATTTCATTTTAAATACTTTTCACAATTTCTAAATTCAGAGTTTTTATGTTACAGAAATTCATCAGAGCTCACGGCTTAAGTCCAGTTATCAACTTGTAGCATCTTCTCTATCCTGTAATCCTGTGTCTGTACCTATATAGCGTACAGTTCAAGATTGTACTGCAGGTTTTTGAAAGTAACAGGCTTTGCAGTATGTTCATTTTTCATTAAACAGCTTCTTTATTAGTCTGGAGGCGGTTCATTGCCTCTAACTTCTGCCGATAGGCCTCTGCTTCTTGTTCTTTCTTTAGAAGCTGCTGACGATATTTTTGTGCTTCTCTGTTTGCCTCATCCAGCTGTTTCTGAAGAGTTTCTCTTTCCTATTAGAAACAGAACCAGCAATATTTTGTCAAATATATATCAAATACAAGTTAAAATGGCAAATAGTTTTCCTTTACATGCAGTTCAAGTGTTAGGGTATCATATAGAAACTGGCCAGTTCTTATTTGGGCAAACCTATATGAATGCTGCTGTGTCAATTAGACATGAATTACCGCACTAGACAACGCCCCACAGTACAGCCTGAAGCATTAATATAGAAAACTCAGGTTTCTTTAGCTGCAAAGATACCAAGCAAGTCTTCAAGGAAAAAGAGTGAAATAAGAAAGTGGAAGCATGCTGATCAAATACTAACATAGTATCTTAACATTTCTCCAATTATTCAATCTCCTTTGATACTTCTTTAAATTGAAACACAGTTTAACAGGATTGTGCCTTTCTGTTTTATTTCTAATCAGACAGTACAATGAAAAATTGTTACCCAACAACAGTTTGCACTGCAAAGTGACAGCTGCCCACTAACTGAAATATACACATAACTGCTTTCTAAATGAAGTGATCTGAAGTGTTTGATACTATGCTATCCAGGGGTATAATTACATCCCCAAGGACAGCACATTTCTATGAATTAACACACATTTAGCTAGATAAGCTTTTTCAATTCAAAAGGAGTAACTTAAGGCTCCATCCTGCATATAAGTTTCTTGAGGATGGCTATAAAATGGTTTCCAAGCAAAACAACACAGGAAATGCCACTTCCTATGGAGCTGCCTTAGGAACTAAGGAGAATGTATTTCATCCCCAGTGACGTAGGTACTGTCATTTTGTCTAATGTTGCACTGAGCCCAAATGAAGAAGCAATTTGCTTGGAAAATAGCTTTGTTTTGATCTTCAACCAAATACCATTTCATTAAAGTGCATCATACTTTTATGAGTAAGGTAGTATTTGATTTCAAATCATTCTTTCCACTGTAGTTGTTAAGTAGCCACAGGAGGGAGGTTGTCAGAAAAGCAAACCATCTCCCAGAAAAACAAAACTCTTATCAAAACCTGAGGCCCAGTGGAAATGTTGCCTTTTCACCTTATTCCAATCCCAGCTGTTCAGTATCACGTTCCCATTTAATACCCCAAACAGCTGTTACAAGTTTCTCCCTCCACACCCCCATAACAGCATCCCTATTCTTCACCTCTTTGATGCACTCACATATTTTCACGATCAGAGCCTGAAAATACAAAATACTCTGCCTCCCTTCTACTTGCTACTGTTCTCAGTACTTGTCACAGCCACATTTAGCAGTCACATGCTGTGCTGAATGTGCTGGAATAAAATCACATAGGTGATCAGATCATTGCTAACAGCAGCATCTGTATAGCAAAAACAACAGGCGAAGGAGAGATGTTATTAACAGGTTATAAAGACTAGCTGTAATACAAAACAGAGCAAACTTCATTAAGTGCAACCTGATTTTACAGACGGCTTTAAGAGCTGAGGGAAGCTAGCTAGGGTTTGTTTAATTGGGAGCATATGCTAATAAAATGAGAGCTCATTTATCTTGCTTACTTATTTGAAAAGGAAGTTTCACTTCCACCTGTGAAAATTTGGATTCTGCTTTTTAAGCACCTTTATGAATGGCCATCCCATGTAGCAACTAGACTGACAAATGCCAAATTAAGAGGAGAGCCTACATCTGAAAGGATCTGAAATACGACAGTGATGTTCCAGCACCAGTCCAACCAAAACATACTGCTATTTCTGTAAGTTATCTATGTAGTTTGAGGTGAGCCAACAGCTTGCATTAAACAGCCCTGTAGAGTATACAGTTGTTGAAAAGAGCTGCAAGACAGTTCTCAGGGAAGCAGTCAAAACAGCTGATCCTGCTACAAGTGGAAAGCAGCCCTTCCCTCTTGAGGGCACTCAGCTCTGGGATATATTGAGCTGGGCATTATCTATATCTCATTAATTTGTCACATAAAAGCCATCAGAAATCTACCACTGGCAGAAGCAAAGCTGCGTTATCTACTGGGCTGCAGAACAGTAAGAACCATCATCAGCTCACTGGCCAGCGGTTCTGTGGTGCATTACGAAAAGCAAAGCACTATCACTGCTACGGAGTGTGTGCAGGCTGCAAACACTTGGGGGTGGAGAGGTTCTCAGGCCACATCTTAGAAGTATTTCCCACAGAAGAAAGGAACAGAGCCATGTACCATAATGTTTGTAGCACATTAAGGAAAGGATAGGAAAAAACTAAAAAAAGGCTCAGTGGCAGAGACAAGAAGATAAAACCAGTATCTACCAGAGAGACTAGCAATTCAAAGCACATAGATTACTCCAGCAAGTGTGTAGTTTTTAGACAGTCATAGTCTTAATGTAAACAGAACGATTTAAGAAGCTAAGAAACAAATGCTTCTGGAGGGGCAATGCAGATCTACAGTGGACTGAACAGTGAAAATTGGTTCCTTAACTTTGACATCTAGAATAGGGAGGACTACATCTGGTCTATTAATTTAATCAAATCCAGACAGTGTTCTTAGGGCATTCTTTAGAACACAACTGACAGCACCGTAATTATCTTAAGCCCTTTTGTATAAGTATAAAAACCTACCCAGGTAAAACTCAAATTAGAAGATCCTGAGAGCTCTTAAGAAATCTTCAATTTTATCAGGGAATTTTCTTCATTACACATAACTTTTCTTAACAGTCTATATATCGACAACAGGGACCCCTATAACTAAAATAACCAAACCAAGCACTCTTCTTAGCAACAGAAAAGCACAGATATGAATTCACTTATATAATTAATTTACAATTATGATTTTTTTTTGTCTAATTAAATCATTGTCCTGGTTCTAATGTATGTCACCTTTCAAACATGCAACATGAGAAAGACAGTCAAATTCAAGAATGAAAATAAAAATCACTGTATGTTAATGAATCATGCATGAAAATGAAAACAGAATATCTGTGTGACAGGGTTTTTTTGCTGCCATCCTATGTTTAAAATATCAAAATGCTTAGGAAAACTGCTATCACTCCTGAAATGTTTGAACTTAGCAGATCCAAAAGAGAAAAATCAAAACACACCACTAGAGCTTTAGTCATTCACAATGCTTTCACAGGAAAGTTTGTCATCTCACATGAATGGGAGGATGTTCAACTTAAACACTTTCAAACTACAGTTAACTGTTCATACACAAGTAATTTAGAACAGCTGAAGAAAGCATTCTTAGCCTTGAATCAACTCTTTATAACGAAATAAAGGAATGAATTGCTAGTGAGGCAAAGACACCAAGCAATAAAGGCTTTCTAGATTAAAAAAAAAAAAATAATGAAGGGAGGGGTCCCACTCCCTCCAAATTCAGTGTCTTAACATCTTCTATCACGATGAAGTTTGAAGTAAACCAACTTTATGTGCACCTCCTTAATGTCCCTGTTACCAAAGTGAGGTAGCACCATACCCCTGTGAACCACAAAAGGGCTCCTGAAGTCAACTGGCCTCCACGCAGAGGCAGAGGTCTGCATGTGCATTTCCAGCTGTACAGGCAGGGACAAAGTCAGTCACCAAAACTCGCACTTAGAAGTAACAGATAAAGTAACTCATTTAAACCAACTTCTTTTGATATTTGAGAAATGTGTTTAAAATATATAACTGAAACCGGTTGTCCCCTTAAAAAAATTATGTGTACTAATATACCAACTACCTGTAACTAGGGACAGGTTAATTTATTCCTTAACCAATCCAGATCTTTTTTCCTTCACCTAACAGAACTCTTAAAATACTTAAGGAAACATAATTTCCTTTAGGAATAATTCAGGCAGATGTTTAAAAGAGTGAACAAAATAAATGCTTTTATTATAACAGTAATACATTTAAAATGCAGCAAGAAAATGTCAACTGTCACAATAATCTGTAATGACCACAAAGCTGCAAAGGCCAAAAGTATTTCATGTGACAACTGAGGAACACAGAAAGCAAGCGATGAAAGGTGGTAATTATTGTTATTAAACATGGATAACATACAGCACATACTGCACAATAAAAAGTATTCAATTAGGCACAATTTGATAATATGAACAGAAGATGGAGAATAAAACCTTTGATAAAAATGAAATATCATGGAGTTGATAAAATGAGAACTTACAGGCTAGTCAACGCAGACAGCCATTTTCATAAACTTTTGACCAAAACTGGTCAGCACAGTTAGAAGTAACAGAAGGAGGAATGAAATGGATGACCTATTGCGGTTAATACTAAAAAAGCTACAATTTTAAACTGAACAGCTACATCTATTTGTTATATATAAAAATAAAAGCTCTCTAAATGTTGTTAGGGCTTCTGCACTATAATAAAAAAAAGGGGGGGATGGTGCAAAGACATGTAATAGTAAACTACTCCAGAATTTAAATAAAAGGGGAAGAGGGGGAGCAGATAAAAACTGACAAACACAGAATCTTACTGTTTCACATTTCCATTAACAGTTATCTAGAGATCATGAATGGAAAGGAAACATTGCTAAAAATATGATCTCACAATCAGGACAAGCATGTGGTCATAACAGAAAGATGAGGGTACAGTACCCTCACTCACTGCTACTGGAAAGAGTCAAGTTACTTGATAATATGTGGGTACCTAGTTTTAAAAACTAGCTAGTGATCTTAAAGGAAAAAAAAAAAAGTTACCAAATACTTAAACAAGTGTCACTTTTACGTGCACAACCAGAGCATGAAGCAAACAGCCCTATATTCTTTTTATAACAACTTTGTAAAAGATTAATTCCAGTAACAGGGGAGACTGAACAAGTTATTGTTTAACACACTTCATTCTGTGGTAACACAAAAATTAAACTCTAGAACAACATAAAAAACCACAACCAGATACTCAGTGCTGAGCACTCTGGTTAACACATATCACGTAATATACTCCTTACTTCTATTTCTGCAGACTCCACACGATTTTCAACAATCTCAATGCACTGTCTCTTCACTGGTGGTTCTTCGCTTATCACTGTTTCTTCAGCAATGTCTGTTGCTGGAACTGTTAATACTGAAAACATATTTGCACATATAAATACATTTACACAAAACAATATTTGCACTATATAAAATTCTATAATTAAGTAATTTTATTAACAGCAATAAAACGCATAAAGAATTTCCCTTTGAAAACACAACTATATAATAAAGTCCATTATAAAGTCTGTACAGGGAAAAAATTACTAAAAACTTTAGCTGCTTGTATGTTACTAAAGAATTTTTAAATTCTTTATTGCTGAAGTCTACAATAGTTAGCCACCACTCTGGAGTATTGCTGCCTTTTTTTCACAGAGTAAACAGACATGGAAGGGAATTGCAGCAGAATTAGCAGTTTGTCAATTCTGTAACTGATGTAGCAGACCATCTCCTTTCTAATGTTTCTTAAGCAAATACTAAATACAAAACTAGCTTTTAATTTTTATTAATCAGAACACTTTAGGTAATCTGAAAATCCAGTAGTTATTAACCTTGGAGGAAAAAAATTAGGGATCAAAAGAAATTCATACTCTAATTTACTTATGCAACCATCTGGCAAATAAATGTTGTAACTGTCACTTCAGTTACTACCTACACACAGTCATGCCTTCTGATAACTAGCTGTACTTGTTCAGGCAGACTGTGAACCAAATCTTATGTCTGCAGTGTACAACTCTTCAAGCTCCACACTGGGAGTCCTCATGAAGAAACCAGAGAAGGAATCATTTTTGGCTAAATAGTAGTGGCAGAGCATCTTTAAAAGAAACCACCAAAAAGAAATGCGTATCACAAAATAGCACTTACTACACTAACAGCTTCCACAAACAAAGTACATATAGCCAGCCCAACAGGACAATTTGTCACCCTGGCTTCACTGGTTCTGCCACTGCTCCTCTAAAACGTCAGGCATGTAAAACTTGTCTATTGTTCTGTTAAGAACACATTTCATGGGATTTGCAGAGGTTGCTTCATGCATCAGACTTCTAAATCCAAGCTTCACATCCCCGCAATATGTCCAGTGAGGCAATAGCGTAAGTATTGGAAGAAGGCTTTCTTTTTTTACTCCATCTTCTAGTTTTCAAAGTTCGCCAGAATCAAGCTTACTGAAGGCAAAGCAAGTAGTTAGCACTTTTCCCCTAAATGTCTCATTTGTCTTCCATACAGTTTAGTAATTATTCTTTCTCCTACTGCAGAGACTCAGCTGACATGTGGTAACACACTGAATGGCAGGAGCTCATGTATCCGAGCCTTCTGCACTATAAGAGTTCAAAGATGTATTTAAATTGATAATTACAAAAAAATTGTCCAAGCTATTTGCACCTAACAATTTATTATTACCGTAACTAAAATAGTTCCTCAAGCTTGAACCATATTTCCACTCACCTTGCTGTCCATCTGGCATGGTCACAATGATTGGCTGCCCAATTCCACTGGTTGGAATCGAATGCAGGTTACCAAGCTGAATGCCATCTGTAACTATAGTAATAACTTGCTGACCTCCAGAACTGACAACTTGCTGAATAGCACCATCCACAGATTCTGCAGTCACAACCTCTTCTGTGGCCACAACTATCAACAGATTAGTAAAGAAATTAAGTCAACTTAATTTATAAATTTTATGATTTCAAATGCCTTTTGGTACAGCAGAATAAAATTCTTCCATGTCTTTTAAAATTTGATCACCCCCACCCCACAATTAATGCATTACCACATATTACATTGTTAATAGAAAACTTTCACCAGGCCAACATAAAGCACTAACATTTTGAAATATACATGCAACTCTGTCCTGGTTTATCTTGCTCAATATAATCATGTTTTTATTTAGCATGTTTCCTAGTAGATACACCCACTCAAAACTGATACTTCGGGTTCAGTGTTAAGGTGGCAGCAAGAACAAGAATTGGTTTTAAGAATACAAATAACTTTTTCATTGTACATAAGCTGGACTAAGTTTCACCAACAGCAGAATAAAAAAAACCCAACTAAACTTGAAATACTAGCTTGAAACTATTCCTCAACCAGTGCCTTGCCAGGTGTACCTCAGGACGCAGCCCTGATTTCTCTGCTTACCATAATGGTAAGACAGTAACAGACAAAGACCTCTAGAGAAGCTTGAAGTTTTGTCTGTACTGTGTGGGTACTTCAAACACAACCACAACTTCATTTATTATACCAAGTATGAAACAAGACTAGAGAAGTTCTGCAGAGCCGAGATTTTTACACCTTTGAAGAAGAAAGCTAAACAAGTAAAATAAACATTGTATGTATATAATGCTATAGGTAAAAGTAAAAATAAAAAAATCCCAGCTCATCTAAATATTTCAAATTCATTATTCACTAACGAGTATACAGCAGTGAACTCTCACAGTTCTCTATTGCATCTATAAATCAAGGTAAGATAAGGGAAAGACTGCTTTCAGAACAACACCACATACCACAGCTTGCACTATGCGCTGTAACTAGGGTCTCACACTAGCACCCTTATTTTTTAAAACAACAAGACACTGAGACAAGAGCAAGATCACTAGTAGCACAATCAAAGAATTTCAAGCACACTAACTCTGTATTTTATTTTCAATTTGTCAGGGTAAAAGCAAAGCCTTTGATTTAAATAACTGACATTAGAGTGCTTTCTATCTACAGAGAAGAAATTAAAACCCTATAGACTGTGTTGTGATACTGGAGATGAGAGAAGGTAAAAGATGAAAGCTTCAGGGTTTTATCTAAGTTAATTACAATATAACACACACACAACATCATTCTCTAGTTCAAATACTGACTGCAGTCATTGCGTTCTGAAGATCTTTATGTTCAGAGATTACTGTCCCATAGCACTGCTTAAATATTCACATAGTGTGTTTATTCAGTAAATCAAAACAGTAAGTCCTACATGAATAAGTGGTGTTGTCTTGAACTTGATTTGGCTTCCAAGTACATGCTCAGCAGTAAGAAAGCCCACTGTCACAACAAATTCCAAGTTGCAAGTCCCAATACTAGCTGCTGTGGCAAACAGCTCTGATCTTTCATTTTCAAACTCAATATTGGGCTTTTGGTTTGGAAAAGAAACATTATTAGGACTTCTGCAGACCTTGAAAGAAAAAAAAAAAAAATATTTTGTCTAAAAATAAGCTATTCTATATCAAAGAAAAACATCCCCATAAATACAGTCCTTATTCCTTCTTTGCTCTCCTTCCATATCTGTATCTGTCTAATCACTAGTTACTGAACTACTTCATATGCTGAAGGAAAGCTGAAGTAATTTAAAACAGCAGCACTATTATTTTCAAGAATCTCTGCATTAATGTGCACTATTTCTTCTGCAGTGTGTGCGGGGGGGTAGGGAGAACACCTGCACATGCAATAAGACACACGCCTAACTCCAGCACAGCACACCAAATACTGCATTCCAAATATACATCGTGAATCAGATTTTTCTCTAATCCAGCTCCAAGTTCCATACATACATTTTGCACCACTTTTCTATGTAACATATCCCTCTATACACTTCATTTGTGCTACAGTTAAAAAACCACCATGATTCTATTCAGCTCCAGTGAGAAACACCTTTCTTTCTTCGGTTTTACAAAATTTATGTGTTTTTAGTTGTAAGACATAAGGAACCAGGGGGAAGGGATCAGCATAAAGTTAAGTTGGAAAGAGGAGAAAAACCCAGACAGAAACAACATAAAAGGTAGAACCTAAGTGCTTTGTCCAAGTTTATGCAGTCTTAAATACAGGAGGCTAAACACAAGTTAAGAGCCAACACCAGAATTCTCAATCCTACAATTTTTGAGAGGCTTTATTAATGGATCTTTTACAAGATAAGCACAAAGAGAAAGATTTTGGTGGTGGTGTGTGTTCTTTTTCTTTATCATGCTATAGATGCACAGGTGACAAAAAGCTGCTTTTGTATCCTTTACACCTTATACACTATTAAAGGAGTAAGAACCCAGGAAATAATTAGCAGAGAGTTAAGTTGCTACAAGATTGCCCACACATAGAAAAAAACCCCAAAACAAAGCAGCAGAACTGAAACAGGAGGGTTAGGTATGTGGACGCTGCATTATGCTGAAAGTGGGAAGCTCCTGCATCAAGACTTGAAGCTTATCCTGCCTGTCATCTCCTGCCTCCTCTAATAATTTTTACCTTCGGTGGTTTACTGACATGTAACGTAAATTATGCTGCACCACTGCAAGGGCAGGGCCATGAAACACGAGAACACTCAGTTACCGAAGTCTGCTACTGAGCCCTGGATACACTTCCAATGCTCCCTAATCCCATGCAATCCTCTCTCAAGTTTCTCTCTCCTACAATTAGATCCTAGTTTCACTGAAATATATTAACTGACTGAAAACATCAGCAGCTTCCTCTGTAATGAAAGGCACTGCATTCTGATTCTGAATCATCCACTTTACTTAGAATATTTATGTCATAAAATAGTAAAGCTGTACTTAGGTACTGCTTGGAGAAGTAGTAGAAGAAAAGAGCTGCATTAAGAAGAAATCCTGCAGGACTTCAAAATACTTAAGAAATAAAAACTCAGGTATGTGTCAGGATGCAGCTGTCATGCCAGTAAGTCTGAGAGCACAGGTCTCTCCTGTATTTTCAGTGAAAACTGTGTCCTTGAGAACGATGCCATCTGTAGAGCTGAATTCCCTGAGAATTTTTAGGTACCAAAGACTTAGGCCATGCAAAACATCACAGTTCTGTAATATTCATCATACTGATCATTACCAACAAAAAAGCAAAATAAATGCATTTCTTTAGAAATGTGTTCAGAAAAATTCAGGTCGCCATAAGCATCATAAAACCTTGATCGACAGAGGGTTGTTGCTCTCCCCGCCTGGATGCGTTCCTGTGTGATCTGATCTAGGTGTTCCTGCTCCCGCAGGGAGATTGGAGTAGATGATCTTTCGAGGTCCCTTCCAATCTCTAACATTCTGTGATTCTGTGTGATTCTCCATAGTGACCTTTAGTCACTGGCTTTAAAGTTAGGCTCATCTTGCCACATGAGTAATCAGTGCTCAAAATCACAACGTAACTTGGAAATAAGGCTATAGTGCTACATGTCAGTACAATAAATACTATAAATACAAAATTTAAGAACAATCTAGCCTAGCAAAAAAACTTCAGCAGCTACAGACATACCATACTGCCTGAGAAAACTGGGGAGCAACATATGCAAAACAGCACTGGGCAAGTAAAGCATGCATGAAACACTTCTCAGCTTTCTTTAGAAAGCCAAGTCTCCCCCAAAACACCTTTTGAGACTCTCAGAAGTTTTTATTCAAGTATACCACATAGCCTACTTCAGAGACAAAAACTACGGACTTCTGTGTCCCAAAGCAAGCTAACAAAGAACTAACACAGCACTTGACCTCTTAAGTGCTAGTTTAACCTGATTTTCTTATGGAATGGCAAGGTATTAACATACACCATAACTGGAAAATATGGGCTGGAGCAGAAATTCAGTGGCATCCTCTTATAAAGTAACTTTCAATAATTCAAAAGCTTTTGATCACATTTTAACTTTATTGTAGATGGTATTGCAACTTGCTTAAATTATAAAGTGTCTTTTCCTTGCTTATTCCTCTTTCTCAAACCTGTTAGTGGTAATGTCTTTTATATTATTTATATTTTTTTAT